ATATGACAATGATTCCAATAAAAAGTAGAAAAAGAACGAAAAACAATGTCCTAAAACATAATATTACTTCGAAATACTGTTTTAATGTTCCAAAATAATTTGCAAACATTATTCGACGTAGCCTGTTCCAGGCGTGCGGACAGGACAAGGAAAACCACAGATAACCCAGGCTCTGTGATAGTACCACAGTACGGTTCCAGTAAAATTACAGTGTTTGTATGGGGTAAAAATATCATCCTAAAATTTCTAGGAAATACAAAATAAAGATCAATAAAACTTACTCTGCAGTTAATTGTTGTTGTCCTTATTTCTCCAACGAGCAATTGCCTTCTATCAAGTATTTTTCCAGCAGGGGAGGGTGGCTTTGGGCAAATGATGTATCGGTCCCTAGAAAGGTCACCCCAGGACCCCCGGGATAGAGTTTTTTTGTACAGTGCCCAGGTCCTCATTTTCTTGGCCGCGTGTTGATCTGGCCCGGCTGCTTCGGCGAGCATATTCTCGGTCTGTTTGGATTATATTCTTCGAGTTTGTCAAAGTCTGTGGGATTCGTTTCTCTATCTGGGAAAGCTTCATTGGTTTCTATATCTGCTGCTATCCTATTTCTACGATCCTGGCATGTTTATTTTCCGTTGGAGTCCGAATTTCGTGGAAAAAGTTGTGTTGAATGAGAGCATGTCGGCGAAAATGGCACCTCGTGTTTCCTACCTTGTATATTATTATTGTAGATAGAGTGAATTTAAACAAATTACTGCAAATTATCACGAAACTTCGTTGGAGGAATAAGGACAACAACAATTAACTGCAGAGTAAGTTTTATTGATCTTTATTTTGTATTTCCTAGAAATTTTAGGATGATATTTTTACCCCATACAAACACTGTAATTTTACTGGAACCGTACTGTGGTACTATCACAGAGCATGGGTTACCTGTGGGAAAACTACGAATGTAACGACATACAAACAAAATGAACCTTCTATTATATTATTGGTGGATAGCAAAAGACTTGATTAACCTTCGCTGGTTTATGATATGGCATAGATAGGGAAAATTGATTTGGAGTTACACACGAACTTTGTTAGGCCGTTTTCTTGCAAATTGCAGCTCGATTTTCCCTGGCAATGACTGTACCTTTTCCCAATACTTTATTATGTAGCAATCAAATAAATAAACGTGAATATTTAGGAATGATTTGCAAGAGTTTTTTTGTTTCTGCTAATTAAGCATTTTTCTATCTGCATAACTAAAAATAGAGTTCGCAAAAATAGAGTAAGTGAAAAATAGAGTCTTGAGGTCAGTCTCACTCTCTACTAATAACTAAACCAGCTCCGAGATCCCTAATCATATGGAGATTTGGACTAGATTAATCGAAGGACAAAATTTAAAATTACGATGTCGGTGTTTCGCCACGTTTTTTTGTGGTGATGCGATGTTTGTTATTTTTTTCCGCGGCTTTGCGGTGTGGACAGTCCCCCAATGCCCCCCTCATTATTAGACCTTAAACCCTTATGGAACAGTAATACATTTCTTCACGTAATTTATAAATCGAAAAAGAAAACAAACTTGTTATGCATTCTAAACAACGTCTTTCAATATAGCAAGATTCGAACACGAAAACGAAATGCGAAGAAAAGCATTAAAACAGAAAAAATTTGTAATCCAGCCCTTTTTGGAATCCGGAATCCACCGAGCTGGAATCCGGAATCCAGTGATCGGAATCCGGAATCCACAGGGTGGAATCCACAATCCAAGACTGTCATGGATTCCCTTACATGGGGCGAGAACATCCTGGCGATTGTTTTGAAATAGCGCGTGTTTTATTTATTTATTTACAGTTTACGTTATTTATTTATTTACTTTTAAACATCATCATTTAATGTAGGAAAACTGGTATAAAATCAACGTTTTATTTTAGTGTATATATAACGAGAGATGTATATGTTGTGGATCAAGGTTGGTCTTCGTGTACCTCTTTGCTATATAACGATTTTCATCAATGAAGTTTTCACAAACACCAGAGAATAATCGATTTCTGTTGTTTCAGTACTAATGAACCCATCAAAGCTGTCCAAAAATTGAGAAACAAGAGAGAATAATCTATTCTCTCTTGCTGAATAATATATGGCAACAAGAGAGAATGAGCTAGATCATTCTCTCTTGATGGCAAGAAGATGCCAACATTTTTTGTGCCAACAATGGCGCATAAATTGCTGCCATAAGTTCACTAGTTTCAACTACAGTCAAAACTAAACAAAGCAAGGACTGCTGGTGTCTTAAATTCTTCTCCCTCCCCCGTTTCACCCGCTACTATTCCTATCATTAAAAGATGACTTCTCATTTAAACAGCCGCCATTTTAAATTTTGGTAAAAAATAAGCATAAGATTTAAATGACCCTGTGCTGACGTCAGCACATCAAAAAGGAAAGTCTTGTCTTAAGGTGACTCGACCCAGTTTTTTTGGGGGGTTACCATCCTACTTTGAAGCTCTCTGGTATCCCCACCTTTACTTTTATCGTAAGTATAACACATAGAATGGATAACATATAGATCAATCCGTAATATAACATAAAATTTTTGGCGATCGGAGTAAATGTCACGTGGTTATAATGCCACGCCTCTTTGAGGTCTGAGTCGAAAATCGGCTGTTGCCGGCATTTTTTTGTGAAAATCTCTCGGCTACACATAGTGCGCATTAGTGCCTTGCGCTGAACAGAGTTTTACCAAAATCGCAAAGACCCAATTCAAGAAATTCAGCGGTTTCCAAATTTAGGTCATAATTTATGCGAAAATGATAAGCAAACTTTACACGGATTATATCTAATAAACCAAGAGATTCATCCCTTTATTTTGGGCATCGTTATAACAGATGGGTCCTTGCAAGTCAGCAAAACGCTTTAGGGCCCTGTAAATGCGCGCGATTTCGAGCAAAGCAAACATATAGAAATTATAGTTTTCGCTATTTGTTGACGTTTGTCAGCGTTTGAGAGTCCTTCTCACGAAAAAAGCATTTTCTTAAAAATTCGTAGTTTTTTTTCCTTCAAATTTTTTCAGGGCCACAATTGATTAACTAACTACCCGGACTCTGAATTTCATGGTCATTGAAAAACTGTGACATTATCTTCTATAAGCTCAAACTTGAGTAAACATTGAAGATTTTTAGCTTTTTGGCTGAGTTTGTGCTTTGGGAGTTGTCTATTGTTTCTAGTCTGTCATTATACAGCATTCTTGTTCAGCACGCGTGCAATGACCACGCTTGGCTGACTTCCGAATGTTCACCGAGATATTCCCGTCACGAGTTGGTTTAATTATTGTCTTGCATTAAACCTATGAAAAAATGATATTTTTGTAATAGTAAGTAGACTTAGTGTGTAGCACTTCTTGATTTTTTTGCAAAGACACAAGAAGCACGAGAATTGATTAAAAATTGTTAGTTAAACCTCTATGTATCACGCGATGGCCTGTTTCACTGTACCAAATTTACAATATCTCGCAAGGCACTAATGCGCATTATGTGTAGCCGAGAGATTTTCACAAAAAAATGCCGGCAACAGCAGATTTTCGACTCAGACCTCAAAGGGGCGTGGCATTATAACCACGTGACATTTACTCCGATCGCCAAAAATTTTATGTTATATTGTAGATTGATCTATATGTTATCCATTCTATGTGTTAGAATTACGATAAAAGTAAAGGTGGGGATACCAGAGAGCTTCAAAGTAAGATGGTACTCCCCCAAAAAAACTGGGTCGAGTCACCTTAAAAGTTGTTGTTAAATCTTGGGACTCTTGACGGACAAATGTTTTCACTCGATGTTCCCTCCAATAACATTTCTTTCTTCAGCCCTATACATGACATGTAGTTAGAACGTCTCGTAAAAGCTTACGACCACCTCACGAGACCGCTTTTTGGGAACTCTTCTAAACCGTTACATTTCGGGTTGTTCATTACGGAAGGTTCGTCTTACGGATAGAGATCTATCAAAGTGCGGCGGTGACATACAATGCAAACATCAAAATTTATTACATCTAGTCTATAGGAATATAATAGCACGGCACATGCTTGAAAGCAGTCAAACTAAGGGTCTGCCTTGCTTACAGCGAGAAATTTTCCATGAAGTGGCCCCCATATACATAAACCCAGTAGGTCACCTTTCACCATGGATGCAAATAATCAAGTTACAATCAGAATTGCGGCATATACTATACTTTTGCTTTACTGTAAGGTAAGTTGCAATGTTCATGGGAATCCTCTTGTGAGAGAAGTGACTTGTCTTTGACAGATTGTGCTCACAAAAGTAGCATAATAATTTATGCTACAAGCAGTGCTCGTGAATTTCTAAAATTATGCCGATAACTGTGCTAGTTTTTGTAAATTATGTTCATTTTTTTAGTAAATATAATTCAGAAATTATGCTTCTACTATTTACTTTAAATTTGATAAAAACACCTGAATATATAACTTTGCAACAAACAAGTAAAAGGCAAACACACTTACTCTATTTACATCTAGAAACTTTTGTATTGTCTGACGACTAGAAAAATTCAAACAATTAACAACCAGGGCCCAGTTGCTCGAAGCATGGTTAGCGTTAACCAGCGCTTAATACCTTGAAAACGTATTGGTTTTGATACTGCTTAACCAATGGTTAAAGCTAACTATGCTTTGAGCAACTCAGCCCAGAACGCGGAGGTCCATCTTAGATAACCGAGCTAGTTATGCGCATGCGTTGAGTCCTGTGAAAACAGTCCTAAGTCACTTCCTGTAAGACCCAGGTCCCATGAATGTGACAATGAGCAGACCGTCCAAAAATTGATTTTGTTACTTAATATATGCCTGTAACTCTGACATCAGCAATGACAATTTTAAGCTACAAAACTAGCCAAAAAGTGCAAAGTATGCTAGCAGACACAATTTTCCGGAATTGGATTAATATTATGCTCGTAATGACGAATTATGCCAACATTATACCAGCACAATCTATCAAGGCTGAGAAGTGACCCGCTTAGTCCTGTGGTGGCGGGATTTCTTCCACGTACATTCGAGATACTGAATTCCATTCTGTGCGTGCATCAGCATTAAATGTGTAACCCTTGCAATAGCCGACATGGAAGCCGACCTCTACAATCCCGGCGGGGAGCGCATTGCAGACTCCTTCAATATGGCGAACACGGAATGGGCTCAACTTGGTATTCGGTCTCGCACCTGATAGCATGTAGACCAGACCGTCGATAGGATCAGGAGTAGAACACTCGTTACCATTAAAAGTAAAATACCAACGCTTGCAGCAATTGTTGCAGTTTCTGATACGAAGTCCACCACTCCAGTAGACTCTAAGACTGGTTTTTGACGATAACTTTCTAAACGTACAATTCTAGGGTATTTTTGTAAAGACAACAAGAAATAATGTTAGCAAAAAAAATTGGGTTCTAAAATGAAATAGCTTACCCTTCAATTCTATGAGTGAAAAGCTCCAAGAAGTTGCTATGGAAAGGGAATTCTTACTGTAAACTGTTGTTATTGTTGAGTTGCTAAATTATATGCTATTTATTAACAGAGAGTGAGGTCATTACAGGGATATCTCAGACCGAGGCTTTAATGTTAATAAGTTGTACACGTGAGCCTGCGATAGAGTCAGGTGACATTGGTCAGCGAATACCCCACAGACACGAAGCCTCAAGCTAAAAAACAACGATTTTTAAAGTTATCCCAGAAGTTTCCAGAAGAAACACAGCAGCTAATGGAGGAAAAAGATACAGGTAATATAAGGAAAGTACTTTGTAAATCATTAATTCAGTGGTTTTGAGAATTAAATCTGTGTTGTTATAAGTACCGAGTCGACTGTACGTGCATGTTTTGGTTCGCTCCGGTTATTCTTTCGTTGCTGTTGAGGTGAAAGTCTAGAAATGTAACAAAACACTTAATGTCAGGTCCCTCGGCAAACCAGTTAGTCATGTTGTTTTCCCTCGAGTCCTGATGTTTCCCTCGACCTCGTCTCAGGAAACATCAGGACTCTCGGGAAAACAAAACTAACTGTTTCCCTCGGGATCTGACGTTAAGTGTATAATATGATTTAGTATATAATGGTAATTGAACTGAGTGAAGTGCAATTTGGTCTGATATTATACGCGTGATTTCTTTGAAATCACAAGTATATGATTTCAGACCAAAATTGCACGACACGAAGTTCAATTACTACTTTATTACTTCCATTTTGAAATCGCAGAATTTAGTCCGTACTAATATTTTATTGATCAAGTAGCCGGTTTGTTAAAAAGGCGAAACAAAAAGGTTTTTACATCTCACTTTGTATTCCAAACAGAAATGATGCGATATAGAACAAAAATGGTGCGATTTAAAACAGAAATGATGCGATTTAGAACATGAATGACGCGATTTGGAACAGATGCGATTTAGAACAAAAAATGGTGCGATTTAGGAATAAATCACACCGCTGAGAGCCAATCAGATTGCACGGATAGCCAGTGATTTCAAAGTGGATGTAATAAATACTAAAACAGTGGATAGTGTTTTTCGTGCGCTCTGATTGGCTACTCAATCAGTGAATATCCTGCACTATTCACTGATTCACCTCCAGTTCCTCCGAGCGAGCGACGCCAAACTCGCGTAGGTTGCGAGCAAAATGCCTTCACGGCTTGCTGCCGTGATAAACTAAGAAATTTCACAACTAATCAAGCAAGCTATTTCCGAAATACATGAAGAAGGTGACGAAGTTCGGTTTGGAAGTTTTAACAAGTAAAGCTTTGTCTTTTTGACTTGAATTTATCGATAAAACCGGTGAAAAAGTTTTTTGTTTACAAATGCAAATTAAGCTTGAGTCTTGCGTTACTTTATTTAGTTGACTTGTTCATAAATAAGCTTAAAACTAAATTTAATAATCTTTTTTACAGAATTATTTTAAATACAAAAAGAATTCACAACTCCTTTTGAAGAAACTCCCCCGCAAGAGTTAAACAAACGCCTTCAAAAGTCTTATTTGTCGTTAAGGAAAAGCGACGACCGCGGCCGTTGGTCATGGCGCGCCAAAATTGTAATCGTTGGCAACAGTAAATGGGTTAAAAATCATCATTTTTTGTGCTCAATTATCTCACTGTTTTAGTATTTACTAAAACAATTATTCACCTCAGTGTCGGTGGCTAGTAGTGGTTATTTACCTCGCCGCTTCGCGGCCTCGGTAAATATCCAATACTAGCCATCTTCGCTTCGGTGAATAATTGTTATATATTATAAAATAACTAAGATAGTACGCGCGCTCTGATTGGCTGAGAGGAGTGTTTGCATGAGAGTATGTAAACATGGTTGTGGCGTCAAGATGTTTTGCTTTTCACGCAAGCACGAATTTGAAAAAGTTTTCGAGTTCAAAAATCGACAAGTTGACTTTATTTACCCATTCCTTTGTCGGCTGAAACTTGGAAAATCGTTACAAAGAAAGTGTGTCAATTTTTTTTTCGCTTAAGCTGACATTTTAAGCGAGAAGAGTACGTATTTTGGAAAGCATCTTCTTGCAAAACAAGAACTAATTACGCAGGGGCGGATCTAGGGGGAGGGTGACCTGCGGTTTTCTAATACAGCTGGTATTCTGCAAAAAAAGAAAAACTATGTGGTTTATTGGTGTTGAAGTAGAGCAAGAGACGAGTACACCCTCTAAAAAAAAAAAATCCTGGATCCGCCCCTGTTATGCGTGCAAGACTTCGTGGACAAGACTTTGCGACTGGTAAGAATTTCTCATTTAATCGGTGCCATACAAAGAGTTTTGCGTTTTCTCTCGGGAAATTTATTTTATAAAAGCAATAGAAAACTTTTTCCTGTGTTTGCATAGCCTGATATAAACACTCGAGGCATTGGGAGAATTCTCGACAGTTATGCAAACCCTCGACTTCGTCTCGGGTTTGCTTAACTTTCTCGAATTCTCCCAACCCCTCTCGTGTTTATATCAGGCTATGCAAACACGAAAAACGTTTTCTATTGCTTAATTAGTAAAATCCAGCTAGTGGTCTATTATCAATGCTGCGTTCTGATTGGTTGAGCTACTACCAGGCTATATGTTATAGCCTACCAGTGGCGAAAAGCGCGCGCTTTTTGGCGGCAAAAAAGGATTAAAGTCTAGTTGGATTTTACTAAAACACTTATTCCTCTCGCCCTCATGGCCTCTGAGTCAATAGCCCATGAGGCCGACTTAGAGCCCATTCGGGCTCGAGGAATAATCGTTAAATACATATGTCTATGGCTACAATAGTACGCGCGCTCTGATTAGCTGTTTTCTTGTGATGACCCGGCATTACTGGCTAGGTGTCCAAAGCAAATTCAGTCTGTTTCTAATATTATTCTGTGGACATCCATGTTATGGTCGTGACTGACAGCTGTCGAAAAGGGTATCCGCTGACCAGTGTCACTTGACTGTATCGCGTCCTCAAGTGTACAACTCATTGAGGTGTCGTGTTTTTTAAAGTTATTCGCTGACCAGTTGTTGGTTTTAAGTGATGGCAGGCTCAGGTCCTTAATGAAAAGGCGTGATATAATAAATAACTTATTAACCTCCTCCGTTCGGTCATTAAGGGGAAATCTCCGACCTCGGCCTCGATGTATTGACCGAGCGATAGCGAGATCAATACATCAAGGCCTTGGTCCAAGATTTCCCTGTATTGACCTCACTCTCGGTTAATATAAGGAGTACATAATATAATACATGTATAATGAAATATATTGATATAGAATAAATAAATACAAGTTTACCTAAACTAAACTACCTGCTGTCAATTCTACAGATACTCTCTATTCGCTTCCCAGTGAAGGAGTATTCCCAGTGTGGGGTCCCATACAATGTACGTAGTAGAGACCTGTTGCGGTGACCTGTAACAGCCACCTTAATCGCGTACAATACAAAGAGAACACTATGCAACATGGACGTACAAAAAAATTCTGATTTGTGTCTTTGGTTGCCTCAACTAATTATTCTGCTGCAGGTACCTGTTCTATAAACATACACACGAAAATTCATGGCGCCTTGGAACATTTCAGTCCTGCGATATTAGCCTATGACTGAACAAGCTGTCCGTTTTGGGGAAGGGGACTAAATAGTGAGTTTACGCAACAGGGGCCGGTTGCTCGAAGCCTGGTTAGCGCTAACCGTTGGTTAAGAGGTATCAAAATGTATAGGTTTCCATGGTATTTAACGCTGGTTAGCACTAACCATGCTTCGAGCAACCCGGGCCTGGACGATAGACAGAAAAAGACGGCAAAACGTTTGAGTGTGACAAACGTCACGGGGCTATTTAAGGGTACTTGGGTGTTTTGTCGGGATTTCACTTAACACTATAGAAGAGCTTAAACGAACTTGTTTCATAACTTAATTATGTCCGTATTTACATATACGCAATTGAAGTATGGGTATGCGATTATGAGGGTAACTACCTCTCCAAGATCGCTAAATTATGCAAGCGAGCATGGAAATATGGTCATACCAACAAGTGCATATCCATCACGGATGTGATTCGAGATAGCGATAAACAACTATTGGGGAAAAAGTACGGATACTCAGTGTTTGAAAGATCTTCTACCAAGTAAACGTACATATCGATCATTTCGTTAACGTGGCCCTGATTAAATGTTATCGCGCATTCATACGGAGAGCTTCGAGCGTTGTTTTGTAAATAGAGGCCTTTTTAACTATATTTAGTTTAATGTTTGTAGGGAAACTTGTATTCTTATAAATAATTTCTCTTTTATTGCGATGTAGACTTGCACGCAGCTATAAGTTCTCTAATAGGAGACGGCGAAGGAAAGGGCTGACTCTCGCTCTCCTATTATATTTTCCTATTTCCCCATTTCCCCAATCTCGTCCTCAGAGCCTCCTGGGGGCCTGAGTACGAGGACCAGGAGGCTCTGGGGACACAAGATTTGAAGTTCTAGTGTTTAGGACTTCCGGTCATTTCTGATTTTCTACAACGTTTCTAATAGCGTTCACTTGCTCTTGCAGAAGTTTCAATGACTGTAAATTTAGGTGATCAAAGCTTTTAAAAGAGAATCCTCCAACTTTCTTTTGAATCGGAAATGACCGGAACTTCTAAAATCTAGGACTTCAAATCCTGTGTCCCCAGAGCGTCCTCGTCCTCGTGCGCAGGCCCCCAGGAGGCTCTGGGGACGAGAATGATTTTCCCCACCAAGGAACCTGGTCCCAGGCTACTGCGAAATTCCCTGGGGAACTTTTGTTTATTCTGTTGTTGTTGCTATTAAGAAAGAATCCATCGGCAAGAAATTGAGTAATTTTAATTTTCAGTGGACAAAAATATTGTACCATAATTATTTAAAGCGTATTGCATCCTTTTTTTTACACTTTTCAGGGGCTATGGATGTAATTAGTTATCTGCTAATACCAAACACAATTTCTTATGCCCGAGAAAATGAATTTCAACCACACAGCTTTTGTGAAAATACCGATAAAATTTCATTTTTTAAGTTTCAAATTTATTTTCACGGGCCTCCATAAGAAATTTTCTTTAGTATTATTACAAATAGCTAATAGGGAGCTTAAGCAGCGACGTTTTTGAGCGACGCACGTCAACAGGAAGTGAGGTATTTTCCCTCTTAACATGCCTTGATGATATAAAATTTGTATTCCTTAGCTTCTTTACTGTTATAGAGGCGATTTGACTGAAAATTTGCGCGAAACCACCGTCAAAAAATGAAAAAAGGCCACTTCCGGTTGACGTGCGTCGCTCAAAAACGTCGTTGCTTAAGCTCCCTAATAACATCTACAGCCCTTAGAAACTGTAAAAAAAGAAAGAAATATGCTCTAAATTATTATGATACAAAGTTTTTGTCATTGAAAATTAAACTTACTCAGTTCCTGATGGATTTTGTCTTAATTTATTTTGGCGTGTCAAATTTGAACTTCATATCTGCAATGCAACGAGTCTTAAATAATAGGGAGCTTAAACAAAGACGTTTTTGAGCGACGCACGTCAACCGGAAGTAAGGCCTTCTCACTATATATATGCCTTCACTCTAACAAAAATGGAATTGATAAGTTTCTTTTCTCTTATAAAGAGGATTTACCCGAGATTTTCAACCAAACCACTCCCCAATGAAGCAAAAAGTCCACTACCTGTTGACGTCCGTCGCTCAAAAACGCTGCTGCTTAAGCTCCTTATTACCCTCAATGAATCTTAACCTATGAAACAGTGTTCAGACACCTTAATGATCGCATTTGAAGATTACCTTTATCAAGCCAAGGTCTTTATGATCACTAAGTCCGTTGTAAACACACTGCTTCCAGTTCATGGTGTGGGGCGGTCCCGGAGGCCCCTTAGCTCCTTGATTGCCCTTTGGGCCGGGAGGACCGGCAGGACCGGCAGGACCTACGGGACCTAGGCCTTGATATACGGTTAGTGTATACGGTTTACCCAGGACTTCTGGAAAGCAGCCTTTCGAAAACTTGTCACAGCCGCACTGAAAGCAGAAGCAACAACTGGCATTAATAACGTTTACAGTCTTTCATTTAGACTTGGTTCCACGTTCAGTCAACGTGGTTTTAAATGATTCTGAATCGCGAAAGAAAGTAAAAATTATATGATTGGAGCATTCAAGTATGGGGCTAAATTGAGGCAAAATCGTTGCAATATAGTTCTACTACTATAAACAAGCAACAACCTCTTTCCTAACTACATGCAGTAAGTCACCGATTTCGACGAGGAATCATCGTCGTAATAATACTGTGCATAGCAGAAGCTGGGAAATATAATATATGCTACCAAAGATAGTTGAATGGACAGCATAATCTTTTTAAAGCACCGAATACCTATCAAATGGATATGAGAAAAAGGTATCAGTTGTTAACGATGCACTTTAAAATGCGTCATAGAGAAATTACAAGAATCGGCAGGCAAGCGGACATGTTTCATCGTTCACAACTTGGGAATCAACAATATTACAATTCATATACTAAAAACTAAAACAAAAACAGAAAACAAAAATAAAAGAAACAAAGAAGCCAGTGCGAGAATATAAAGATTGGCAATTGGAATTTTCCCCTGCGGCTCGTACCTCGTATAACTAACTTTAAAAAAAATTAATACATACACGCGGCTTATTTTTTGTTATATAAGAGAAATTTTCAGTGGTCAGAAGTTGTGTGCTGCAACAGTCGGAATGAAACTGCGCAAAATATGACACCATTTTTTTTTTACTGATACTAGTTTTCTTTCCAGTTAGCGCTGGTTGAGTGAAGTGACTTTAGACAGGAACCCATATTAACCTTTTGAGAGAACAACACCCATACTAGGCCTATGTCGCGACGTTTTAGAGGGCCGGTTTATTTTTCGATACATTTTAGCCGGAAAGCACAGTTCATCCGCGAAAATGGAAGCTCTCGGATCATTCTTTGCTAAATAGTTTGCGTCGCTGTGTTTTTTAGGAATATTAACTGGGTTTTTCTGTTTAAATTTTATTAAATTTTATATTGCATCAACACCAAATCAGTTTAACCTCAAAGGTTTTGAGTATAGGTAAAGTAAGTATGAAAATTATATTGACCCAGGAACAGATATATCATACGGCTGATCTGAGCCTCGGCTTGCCATACCGTTCTTTCATCGAGGAGTAAACTTTGCCTCGCGATGAACTACTATGAGCTTATCCTACATCGTTTCGGCCAAACTCCCCTAATAGAGATCTTATTCCATATCTTTTGCCTTTTTGAATAAGAAAATAGGTAATTCACAGCGAAGAGAGGTTATAATTTCGTCACGCGCGAAGTGTGTGAGCCGCGCGTGATCTCAGCCAGTTGCAAACTCGGACGCCCCATATTTCGTGAGTACTGTCTACTTCATCCTAGGTATTTCGAGAACGCGACATTGCAACCCTTTTTTAACAACAGTAACCCCATTTAAGTCCCTGAAGATCCTTTTCAAAGCCATAGCACTGGGTTCAAATTTACTCCAAACAAAACGAGGTTAACTACATCTCACCTTCCAATATTAGAGCCAGTGTTGAAACCTGCCCTCCCCAGTCAGACAATATTCTCTATTTCACTCCCTCCCTCCTTTCCCTGAGAGCTTTGCGAGGTTCTACGATACACGTATTTCTAGTAAATAAGGGTTCACTCACAAACAAGTGTGTGCTTTATTGTTTAACCAAACGACTGCTTGTCGTAGTGAAGTGATCGGAAAGGATTCCGGAAATTGTTGGAAAGTAAGTCAAAATTAGTTGTTTGTTTTGCTACATATTGTCTTCATTTGACGCTCTAGCTTATTAGGGCAAACGCCGACACCAACACTGCACGGCTAGCAGAGAATGGAAATTATTTACTGCCAATAAATAGATGTGTAAAAGCAATAATGGGACAGAGAAAAGAGCTTGTAGCAATTGAATGCCGGCAGAGAATTTTAAAACATCTCGTCATTTTCAATTCGGAGCTTTTGAGTGTTTGAACTTTTGTTCTTGGTAAGCTAAACATCTTTTGACTCATTTTTCAAACGATGTTTGCAATCCCGTGAAACTGAATATTTACTATAAGTAAAAGCCTTTTGCGAGAAACACAAGAAAGTTGATAATTTCACTTGCTGCTGATGCAATTTGCTTTAAAGCTCAGACAAAAATCGCAAAGTAGTCAGTCTGACGTCATTTGGTCGCTACACTTCTGTTCTTTTGCATCGCATCTTCGTATTTTATCACTGTGTCACGGTAGGTAAGTACTTTGAAAAATTCAAAACGTTCACTAAACATTGGTCAGCTGATTGTTTACGGGTTGCCATGATGATAGGTAATTTAACTGCGAGAATTTGTAGATGAAAAAAGGAGTCGCATTTGGCTTTTTCTCGGGTTTTTAATCGAACTGTCTTCACATTAAGAGGAGTCCCTGTGTTTGCTTGAATTAGACATACAACGGTGGTGTGCACATCGATGAACAAGATGAAGAAATGAAATTTTTAAACTCACTTCAAAAGGCAGCTAACTTACAGTGCGATCATTCAAATTTATACTTAGTGGTTTTGACTCCCCGAAAATACCACAACCAGCACATATATACAAGAACTGAAGGCAAGATTCTTTGAATTTGTATCAGTTGTATTCATCAGTAACCGATTATATGCAGAACAAGATTTCACTAATAATTATTCAAATATTCTGAATTTACAGATTGACATTGCATTTGTAAGTGAAGATGAGGCACACAAGAACAATATCGGTGTTCATTGTCGAAATATATCAAGAACAAAACCTCTCTGTTCAGATCCACAGACGCCTGCAAAGTCTCTTGTGAATGATTAATTTTCAATTTTTCTGGAGTCCCCTGCTCCGTTTTCAGATGTCAGCCTTACAGATTACAGATACTTAACATAGGGGTAAACAAAGAAAGTTTGCTATTATTGGAATATTAATCATAGCCAGCATCTTTATGAAAACTTGAAAAAAGGCAAGTACATGAACACGTTGAGCGGCTTGAGAAACAAGTCCTTTAAAATGCAGAACTTTGCAAACGCACCGTTTACATGGAGAAACCGGAAATTCCAGTTTTAAAATCAAATGGTTCTCTCTATTCCATTGGGCTTACGTTTGAGACGATGCAATTTCTATTCTCTTAGTCCAGTGACTCCGACTGATTTGGAATATACTTTGTGACAAGAACTTCTTTCATAGGGTCGAATTTAAAACTTTGTTTTGGATTATCAAATTAAATAAGTGTTTTGCAAACTTATAACCTCTAGATCTGTCTGGCATGGTTATGATATTTCCACTGCACTAAACGATTTTCCGTGCTCCTAATACCATGCAGTACAAGGATATTGAAAGCTTTCCCGATTTGTAAAAGAAATTTCTTGTGATTGCCATGAACGAACCTCAAACATTCTTTTTCAGAAACTTGAAAAAGAAAACCTAATTTTCAATTTGACAGGACAATACTTGTTACCCGTAATTTAGCCATAACGCGGCTATGGTCAAGACGGAAAAAAAGCTAACACTAAAGTATTGTTACAAACAAACAAACAATTAATTAATTAAAGGATACAAATCAACACACACTCTACTTTGCATTAATAGTTTTGATGTTAGTTATTGGCAAAAGTTTGTCTTGCAAATCGGCCAACAAGGCACACATGCAATTTAAAATAGGGATTGATCCCTGCTAAAGTTTTGAGAAATTTAGTTTTACTGATTGGAAACATCAATGTAGCTTTCTTTGTTCTCTATAGGAATCTCGAGAAAGGGTTTTCTAAAAGTCATTTTTAAACCGTGTGTATCAAGTGGCGGAAAGAGCTATGGCTTGAAACACGCAACTTGCAGAAAGCGTTAAAAAATATCTCAGTTTTGAAGAGGCTACGTTGAAATGCGGGACGGGATACATTATACAGGAGCAAAGGGTCAGTAGTGACCAAAGGTTTAAAATACCATGATTATAGCGTGTACAACTCAAAGTTTTTTTATACTTACCCGTTTACGCCGAAGTCTCAGTCAGTTCACTGGCTGAAAGCAAGGAAAAATACACAAAAACAGATCTAAGAAAGCAATTCTTTACAACATCCAAGGGACTTTGCGGTTTCCAACGCGGAAAAAGTTTTAATTGCACTTCTAAACACTAAACAATCAGTTCCTTCACGTCATTGTCTCTTTGGAGATTGTTCCAAAATTAAAAGCAAATGACGCGATTTATGACGAGCCTCAGTTAAACTGAAAGGATCTTCTTTTTTTTTCATTTTGCATTGTAATTGATACATTTTGTTCTTTCTAAAGAGCAACAACAAATTTAGCCCGCGGCCATGGCACTTTCGTATTTTCCGCACAGTCATCAGTCATGGCCAATGCTGCAGTAAATATTGCGGAGATACCCAACTCGGTTCTCAGTTCAAATGCCTCAAGACTGCCAGAAAGTAATTCTTTAAACACACCTCTGCCTCCGCATAAAATATCAATAAGCATCTTTTTCAATCGATTCCCCATGCCGGAAGGTTATCTCGTGAGCACTTACGGATCATTTCTACCGCGCGCATTTTGAACTGTTGTTATTGCACCAGCGGCTTGCCAAACTGAACAAGGGAAGCCATATTACCAAACGGTTGTTGAAATGGTCACGCGAGCTATTCGAAAATTCCAATGTAAACGTTCGTTTGTTTTCGGGGTGCTTACTGTTTTACTATAGTGACTTCGGTAGTATATCATGGAACAGCCTACAAGAGATGCACTTTACTACATTCAGATAGTTTTTCAACGTGCAAATAAGTATTAATAGTTTAAAACGACACAGTTTTTCAATGTGCAAACAAGTTTACGACGTTAAAAGGAATTTCGTGGTCTCCCAACGCGGAAAAAGTATTATTAATGAGTAATTATCACTTCTCAACACTTGATTGGGCATATTCATTATGTTGATCGTAGAATTTATTTGCTTGTTTGATTTAAAGGCTTTATCAGTAAGCCTTTTAATTGACATTACCTTTATCTTTCCACAGTTGAAGAAAACAATCGTATTGTAAGAGTTCATTTAATCCTTTTATTGATTTCCCGAAAACTGGTTGCAGTTTTTAATACCTTCCAACTGAAATTGACAAAAAGGTATGTTTTCTGATATTGAAGATGCGGCTTCTAAATAAACACGAAAAAAATTAATTCTACTTCGGCTACTATTCTGGTCATTGTTTCCAAGACTTTATTCACTGCAATTGACAACATGAAAATGAATTGATTTCTTGCCCTTAAGTATGCAAACTTTAGAGTGTAATTCTCCCGGCAAAAACCTCTTTCAAAGAGTAAGACAAGAAAAATAGCTAGCGTCTTTATTGGGGTTGTATAACTGAAAGCGGCAGTGTCATGGCTCCCCGGAGAGCTTGCACGCCGGCTTTGTTAATAGTGGAGCCTGCATTGCTATAGAAACTGGGAACTATCGATTGGAAAAAAAATTGTTTATGACGTCAGCAAACACCCGTCCGCCTGTTACACACGCCCTACAGACTGTCAGGGAGGGACAGAGGAGAATCCGCAACGGAGGGCAGTGGTAGTCTACGAAATACAAAAATAACAATAATAACAATAATAATAACAATATACACTTTTCTAGCACCTTTCTCTTGATCCAAAGCGCTTTACAATAGGTACTAATTAACAATTATTCTTTGAAATCGAGGTGAATAGTGGCAAAATATTTACCGAGCCGCGAAAGCGGCGAGGTAAATATTCCCAAAGCCACTATTCACCGAGATTGAGAAGAATAATTGTTTTAGTATATACACACGAAGTGATCTCAACAAAATCAGAAAGGAAACCATTCAAAAGTAGGATTTGATTGACAGATCAAATCACGCGTAAGTTTAAAAATAGATCTTTGCAGAATTTTCAAACACGGCAATTCACAAGTTTACTCATTTCGCAAACAACAGCGTAATGGCTTCGATGGAATCGCTAAAAGTTTGAACTGTTTCCTTACCTGACAAAAAAAGTAGAGCTGTGTTGTTTTCTGTTGACTCGCCAAGTTTATAGCCAAAAGGGCATGTTGTGTCGTTCTTCGCATGAAGTGCTGACAAAAATGGCGGCTCGGTTGCTCGAGGTAAGAGGTCGTCTTCCTGTATCATTCTTTTTCCTGTTTACTTGAAATGTAGAATTTCTGCAAACATTTCCTTTTAAATTTGTTTGTCATAAATAAACTTCGATTTTTGAGCCAAAATTTTCTTCTTAGAAAACGCTGAGTTCACGAAACGGCTTCTTCTACGCGAATACACGGGAGTTGTAAACAATCCATCGAGCACAAAACTCCTGCTACAGTAAATTGAAAAACGCCGTATTGAATCCTTCCAAGTCTTTTCTTGCCTTAAAAAAAGTCAGCCCTAGGAGTTTGTCGACTTTTAAAAGATCGTTCTCTAAAAAAAACGGGAAAAACACCGAGCTCACACATTATCCACTCGCTAGGAGGTGAATATTGTTGAATAGTCCGAGATAGCGAACCAATCAGATTGCTTAAATCACCAAGATCACTGAGTGTGTATATACTAATTAATAGTAACTAGTAATAGTTGACACTACAGCTGTCCCCGTTCTGTATATATTGTCGGTCAATAGTATTCTTGCTGGTTGTGTAGCTCTTTGAAATATGCCGATTCATAATGGAGATTTTCACACATATTCCATACAATAGGTGAGATAAATACAGGAAACGCAAGTTTCCATGCACAGTTTTAGCTCGATGTACACAGCTTTGATCAAAACATTCTCAGTTTCGACAATAATTTATTCTAAACCATAAGAAAAGATTTAATTAGAAGTTGAAATTTTCGCTATTTCTCTTTCCCTTTTTACATTCAGTTCATTTTATTTGCCGGAAAGTAAGCCTTAGAAATTAAAAGGACGTTTGATCGATTCACGCTGGCGCATTCTAGTCTTATTTGAAACTTTATAACGGAAGGACATCTGTGAGCAGGGAATAAGTCAGCACAGAATTTGATTGTCGGCGAATTTCTGTAAATGTCCATCAATCTGCTAGTGATAAGCTAGCCGTTGTTCACTCGTCTTGCTATATAAATCAAAGATTTGTGAACTCGTGTCTGGGAAACTCTCCAAGTGTTTAAATATCTACACAGTTAAACGCACCTTATAACCTCCTCTGCGCTTAACGAGTGTCTTTTGGTCCATAACTTTCAAAACAACTGCTCCACTTAATGTCACTGCGTAACGCAAAAGAGTATCGAAGTATGACTGCACAATAAATGTTACAAAATCTACCTGAGCGGTCTCTTCGGGATTTTCTGTCTTCACGTCATCCTAACCATTTCGTACTTGTGGGCGCAAACAATAGAAACGTCATCATTACCTACCGATTCCTCGCGGCCCCAGTTCGAGCAAATCGAGATCAGTTTCTAGTATACTGACTGTATATTTGAACTGTAAGTACTGTCCTTAATATACGCGCGAGTTACTAGGTAGCCTCCCACGCAGGCGTTTTTAGGGGAGCTCGTATTTCTTCCCTCCCCACAAACGCCTGCTCAACGGAAAACAACATTCCTTTCTCATTGTTTTATTTGCGTGTTAGGTGACCAATCAACAATTGTGCAATGAAGTGTTGACAGGCTAAACACGACTGAACGTGACCTTAGAGTTACCGTTTTCCTTCTTTTCTTTCCTTCGCTAAGGTTATGCAGTGCACGGAGTATTCTGAATTTTGACTAAAACTTATTTTTGCCGCTCTGAATCTAACATTCATTGCAGGTCAGAAAGCTTTCCCAGTGTTTAATGCAGATCGAGTAATTATCAGATTACCTTGCGGTCAAGGTCAACTTTCCAGAATTTGGAAAGTACAATGTGATTGGCTAAGCTTGGGAAAGGAATGTTGTTTTCCGTTGAGCAGGCGTTTGTGGGGAGGGAAAAAAAACGAGCTCCCCTAAAAACGCCTGCGTGGGAGGCTAGTTACTAGGGTGCCTCCTCGGGATTTCGCCTCTGGGCGAAATCCCTGCGGGAGCAATAAACCTAATAAAATATTACAATGACTTAATTGTTAAAACAATAAAAAATAAAATGGATAAATAAAAAAATAGTAAATGAATGATAATAATAATAATAATAATAATAATAATAATAATAATAATAATAACAATAATAATAATAATAATAATAATAAACATGAAATTACAACTGAAAAGCAAGCTTAAAAATAAATGTTTTGATTTTTGATTTGAAAGCACTCAGCTCACAACATGTGCGTAAACTAACTGGCATGGAATTCAACATCTTAGGGGCTGCGTGTGAAAAAGCTCTGTAACCATAGGTTTTATGTGTTTGTCTTGGCGAAAGGTTATCAAGTTCACCTGGAGGCCACCAAGGTAGCTGTTCCAGTAAAATATCTTACAGATTCTTTTGCTTGACTAACGCCAACTGACAAGATTAAATAAATTGATTTCCTACCCGTAAAAGTGTAGACAAAGTGTAATAATTCTCCCGGCAAAAACTTCTTTCAAAGCAAAAGACAAGAAAGATAGCTTGCGTGATTATTGGAATTTAAAGCGCCTGTATCATGGCTGTCTAGGTCATTTTGGTTAAAGCGGAGCCTCCACTGCTACAGAAATTGGAAACCTATCGATGGGAGAAAAATTTTGAAGATGATGTGACCTGCAGAAATACAAATTTAAATGAAGATATGATCGTCCCAGTGGTAATTACAATTTAAGCAGTTGCAAGTTAACCAGAGAAAAAGTTTCGGGACTTCAACGGGGTATGAACCCGTGCCCTCTGCTTTAGCGCTGCAGTGCTCTACTAACTGAGTTATGAAAACCCTTTCATCGGGAGCAGGTCAATTTGTTGATTCATCGAAAGGACTGAAAAATAGAATGAAGATGATGTGAACTGCAGAAATACAAATTTAAATGAAGATATGATCATCGCAAGGAAAACTTTGTTATGACGTCAGCGTACGCCCGTCCGCCTGTACACACCTACAGGGGGAAGAGCGGAGGATAATATACAAGGGAGAGGACGGAGCAGTCTTATTAAGAGAGCTATGGCAACATTAAATTTAGGGGCTGACCTATAACTTTGCAAAGGGCTGTGGTGGATGATTCGGTGATTACTTTTGGAAGAATTTCTTTTCCAAGCCTGCTACTCTGATCTAAGTTGATACATATTGATGTTTTGTTTGTTTGTTTGTTTTTTTCTGTTAACAAAAGATTTTTAGCTTGATTAGAGAGCTTTCTTATATCAGGTGTGTTTTTTCGAGATGTATTTTCAACATCACCCAGCTCCTCTCCCAAAAGGTAAACGGAAGGCTCCCTGGGATAAGCAGGAATTTAAGACAGAATCCACCAGGAAATTGAGTAATTTTAATATTGAGTGGACAAAAACCTTGTACCAGAATAATAAAAACAATATCGCATTATTTTTTTTTACACTTTTCAAGGGCTATAGATGTAATTAGTTTTCTGTAATAACACCAAAGACAATTTCTGACGGGGACCCGAGAAAATAAATGTCAAAGTTCACAAGAATTGTGAAAACACAGGTAAAATTCTGAAAATTTCATGTGTAAGATGTCTTTTTGTGAACGTCGACATTTATTTTCTAAGGCTCCCACGAGAAATTTCCTTTGGTGTTATTACCCATAACTAATTTACATCTATGGTCCTTGAAAAACGTAAAAAAGAATACAATGCACTTTAAATTATTCTGGTACAAGGTTTTTGTCCACTGAAAATTAAAATGACTCAATTTCCTGATGGATTCCGTCTTACAGATTTTTTTTCGTGGCTGAAAGTTCATTAAAATTAATTGCCTAATATATTTTAAGTATATAGACGTACAACCGAGGCTTTGCTTTTAGCCCTGGCTAAACCTTGTCTCCCCCGTCAAGCATAATATCAATCGTCATAAACAACAACAATGATTTCATGAACTTTAAAAATCCTTAGGCTAACATGTTTTCTAAATCCACAATTTAAATCCGTTTCAATCTCCTAGAACGTTTTTCCACTTGTGTCTCCATTTGTACTTACTGTGTTATTTGTTCCTTCTTTTAAGCCTTTAAGCCACAATATCCACAAACAAATTCTCCAAACTGATCTCTATACATTTCCTTACAGAATTAGTTGGGAGAAATTGATAAAAGATCAGAGATTTTTCTCTTTGTTATCATTTGATTAATTCTCATAGATGTTGCACTTGACAATGAATGGATATTGTTAGGAGAAAATTGGTGTTGGTCACTATTGGGACTTAAAGGGTTAATCATGTTTTGAGCGGTTATTCTTATGTTTCTTTCCATTTAGTGCAGGTTGTCTGACTTTTTATAGATTTGTTTTTATCTGAAGGAGCACAGGATCTGTAAAGCATCCAGGAATGAAATCTACCCACCAACTGGATCTGGATACCACGGAAAATATTTCCAATCATATTTACTTTGCTAGAACTTTTGATGGAAGATAAAATGAATAATAAAAATTTGCTTTGATTTTATTCAAGTGTTCATTAAACTAATTTATGATCGTTTTTACTGTTTACATTAAATGTGTTTTATATAAAATAATGGCATCAGTTGCACAGTGAAATACATAACTGTTCAGCTCCATACTTTTTGCTTTGCAATTTAAAAAAAGAGGAAATTACGGTGTTCCAAAATTTTGGGTGCTTTCAAGTGAAAAATGCTTTTTTGACAGTGCCCCTATTAATTTTGATCAAGTGCTTCCTATTTCATGAATCGCTCATGTTTACTGTTGAGCACTTGCCACTTCTTCAATGAAGATCCGGGACATTGTAGTCCAGCCTGTATCCGCATCAGTAAGTTTGTGGCCATTGTTGCAGCTTCCAACCCAGAATCCCACTCGCACTTTTCCCTTGTGGATGTTATTGCAGTGACCTTCAATGTGGCGATGACGATGAAGGTTTTTGCCAGCCCCTGATACCATATAAAATGCACCGTCAATTTTACCAGGAGAGCTGCACTCGGCGCTATTGAATTTAAAATACCAACGACTGCAGCAGTCGTCACAGTTGTAGATCCGGAGATTACCAGCGAAGTAAACATGGAGGGAAGTTTCCGTGTATTTCTTCATGAATTGGCAGCTCTACAACAGTCAAAATGAAATAAACAGATCGACTTTGCCCATTTTGTTTAAGTGTAAGCTTAACATGAAAACAGTGAATTTTGTAGCGCGGACTTTTGGCCTCTTCGAGGGCTAAGTTCGTCCTGAAATGTCAAGGTGTTGCAGTGAATCAATCTTAATGAAAATTTCAGGCATCGTGAAGATTATGTGATAAGGTTTAAAAAGAGTTCTGTCGAGCCGTTTCAGAGATATACAGAAAAGCACTAAAAGTCAAAATTTATAATAAAGTTTACTTAGACAGGTGATGAGAAAACGGGTTAGTTTTCACAATCGCAAGAATGAAAATACACCAAAATCCCCAAGAAGTGAATAATGATATCAAGCAGCATTCTCATTCATACTTAAGATTAATTTGGGTTATTTAGAACTTTTTTATCAATCCATTTTTCACGGCTATTGAAAATATAAGATTTGTAATATATTTACGCTTTATTTGAATTCAAATGTAAAGACTTTTTACTTCGCATGGAGGACCACGCTTAAAGTTCCTGGTATCGGATTTTCAGTAGCAGGTCTAGATCGCACAAAATTCGACTTTAATCGATTTCAATTTTTTTTCTTTTATTGTTTTTATAGTGATATGATATCGATTTTACTTAAAAATACATTGTGACAAACTTCCATTCATAGTCATTCACTGGTGAAAGTTTTATAGCGATCGGACAAGGATAAAATCACTGTTAAAGCGCCCGGAGTAGTCAGTCGATAAAAATCGGTATCGATTTATCAATCACTAAATCGATAAAAATCGGTAAATCCGATGGATTGATATCGGTTGTATCGGTCAATCGGTAGAAATCGATGACACACTCATTTCGTTCAACGATTTATCTTAATTTTTACCGATTTCATCGATTTATATCGGAAAGCTACATCAGCTCATCTG